CTCAGTCCAGCTCAGTATGGTGGCATTTGCTTTGTTTCTTTATGCACAACCCTTAGTGATACCTTAATGGGTGACTGGTTTTCCATCCTGAACCCCCTAATCATCACTGTCATTTTTGTGTGAAAGTCCCTCACACCTGGGCCCACTCTGGTACCCACTCAACTCCTTCCAATAAATGGAACTTTAAGGGTGTTTTGGGCCACATGAAGGGTTTCATTTTACATTCAAGGAGTACTTTTAGAAATTTTTAGTCACGATGATGGATCACGTTGGGATATCTTCAGGGAATATTCTGAGACTGGTGGGTTCAGTTTACTGTTTTAATTTTTAAATTTTGCATCTATTAGCCCTTTGGGCTATTTCCAGACTAAAATGACAGATTTCGCTAAAAAAGTGCACCTCTCTGGTGGAGCCCCCTGTATAGGCCACTACTAAATGGAGTACTCCCCCCCGGGTTTCTCCCTCTTCGGGGGGGGGGGGGTATTCCGGATTTCAAGTGACAGGGATGATCGAATGGGAGCAAAAATCAAAACCTGTCAAAACCCAAAATAACCCTTAGACCAAAATTTAACCCCCCAAAAATCCCATGCCAAATTTCCTAGCCTTAAAAATTTCCAGTAAGCATTAAATGATCATTAGTTTTGAATACCCAAAAAAATCCCTACTTAAATCAAGCTATCCAAAAAAATACTTGCCAAAATTTTTCTACCAAAAAATCCCGAAATCAAAAATTTCAAACCCCAAAAAATCCTTCGATCGCCCCTCTCAATTGAAAATGATTTTGTCACAGTCACAGCGTGACATCACATCCAATCCAATCAAATCCCAGCTTCCTATCGGTTTGAACGTGTGTCAACCAATCAACACGTCAGCTCGTTCTCGAAGCGACTACGCTCGTAACGCGAGTGAGAAAAGTTGTTTTGGCGGGTTCGCCTGTCATGTTGGCAGTTGGTTTGCAAAATGACAGACAGAACTGCTCCAACCTCTTCGCTAAAACTAGAATGGGTGTACGGTTATCGAGGACACCAATGCAGAAACAATCTTTACTACACTGGCGCGAAGGAGATCGTGTATTTTGTGGCTGGAGTGGGGGTGGTTTACAACACGAGGGACAACTCACAACGATTTTTTCTTGGACACAACGATGATATTATCAGGTTTGTAAAGTTTAGGGCTTGTACAGACTAGTTTCTCCTACAAGGTATATCCTACAAGTAGACTTGATAAATGCGGTATTTGCTTGATATATTTACCGATCCCTTGTGCAAACTTGAACAATGCATGCTTCTGGATGTTGACCGGGTTACCGTGCAAGCGCCGTGTAAACTCTGTTGACGGCATGCATGAGTTTGTTTCAAAATACATTGAAATTCTAATTGCTGAAAAAGTATTTTCCATTGATACTTCCACAAGATATTTTTGCTTGTGCATTTTTAACGACACCTTAAAAGGAAGGGCTTTTTTACTGGGCCATAAACATACACTCTTCGAATCAGTGTTTCATAGCTGGGGTCTTTCTTTTGGTTGATTGACTCTGGTGAATGAACACTGACTTTATTTTTATTTTAGGCTTACACTTATATATTGAACAACGTTGTACTTCGATTTCACTTCGATTAATTTTTTTCATTTTGTAGCCATATGAGAACAAAATATTTTTACACCTGAACTTGATTCCGTGTACACTTTTCTACGAGACAATAATTTACGATTATCTGTGTGTCAGTTTATTCTATGTCAACGCATAAAAGCAGATATATTTTTAAGTACTCGTCATTCAAGATGTTTTAAAAATCGAGGCGACAATTTAAAAATGTGTTCTTCATATTTTGGTGAGCAATATTCTCAAGTCGACACACCCTTATTTTATTTTAATTGAAAATGGAAGTTTAATTCAGTCACCAGAGAAATTTATGATAATATAAATTATTCTTAGAATCTGCCTTTCAAATACAAATATACTATGGAACTGTATATTAATAAGACAGTTAAATATTGAAGCTTGCTGGCTTTGAACTGTTTTGATTTTATAATAGCTTTGACTGCCTACATGCAGTTCTAGCCTGCTTTTCAATTTGCGTTTGACACATCAAAATGAAAGACAAAACAAAACATACAGGTGCAATACATTTTTCTTGCTGCTGTCAGGTGCAAATTAACAATTTATCTTTGGACACTGATATTTCAAAGTAATAAATTAATTATTTACATGTAGATTATGGTCATTCAACATCCAGAATGGACCTGTATATAACCTAAGTGCTAAGATTTTGTTTGAGAGCATTTATGAATAGGAGGTAGTTTTACACAGGTCTGTTATTAGTTATTAGAAGGTAATTGCAGCCTGAATCCTTATAATGGCCTTTTCAGTATTTCTTTGCTTATCTAGTCCATTATTTTCTGGGGAACCCTGATGCACTGTGGTGTTATTTCATCTGTAATCATAACTATAACAAAATTGTCAAATCTGATGATTGGCTATCAACTGCCCTGATTTCAGCCTTAATTGGACAGTTTAATAGGACAGTACGGGTCATGCCTAAGTAATTGGACAATACACGCCATCACGCGTGCGCTTAAATGGCTTTTTTTTTCACTGTTAGCAAAAACATCTCTTGCGTTTTGGTTTAAAAAAGAGCCTAATATATCACAAATTTTGTAAAGTTATGATTAATTGGTAACAGAACTTCGTGTCGTCCAATTCGGTCTGTAATCATACTCGTGATTAAACAAATCGGACTCCCGCTATGCGGTCGTCCGATTTTGTTAATCACTCGTATGATTACAGACCGAATTGGACTCCACTCAGTCCTGTTACCATTACTTATTGCGGGACTCTTCTTGGCATGAAGTGCACAGGAGAGCACCATGGGTAATAAAATTTGGTTATCCAGTATGTACCCAAGAACTTTTGGTTGGATTTTGGGCAAAATTGTATGTCTATCCATCTGTCCATACTACAGTCGAACCTCCCGTATTAAAGCGACCACCCAAAATGCAAAGGCTTGGTGGTCTCTCACAGGGGGTTGGTTGCTTACGAGAGTCGGACTGCAAGGTCAAAATTTTTAAGTCAACTTAGAATGGAGTGGTATGTTTACTTACTGAAAGTTTACTCTCCCCTGACAATTGCTGGAAGTTTTTATGACAAAATCATCAGCCATTGTATGTGACGGTTCATTTACAGATCTGCAATTAATTCAATGACACCTTCCTTTTTGTCCATTTTTACAATGTACTTAGCTGTTTAGTATGACCACGTGTCAAGTGGTCGCTTACTGGAGGGTGAAAACAATAGAAAATTCTAAAACTGTCAGCCGAAAAAGTGGTCATGGTTGCTTACGGGAGGTGGCCGTTTATGAGAGGTTCTAGTTTATGGCTTTGAGTGAAAATATTTTTGCTGTTTTGCGAAGGTGGTTGCTTATGGGAGGTGGTTGCTTACGGGAGGTGGTCTCACATGGAGGTTTGATTGTATGTATGTTCACCCCTTGATGTTAGTGAATGTCACTTACTAACTTAGGTTGTTTACCATTGACATGAGCAAACTGGTCGGTCCATGATTTGGGCAACTGGCACCCAAAATTCAGCACTGGTACATTTTGTCACGGATTTGCATTTACTATTTGTACAAATCAGGGATCTTGCGTAATTTGTGCACCCCCTCGGACGAGTATCGTGTAGCACTATTGGCTGATATGTCGATCGACTCTTGATTGCCATATCAGTCGACTGTTGGTTGACATGTTGTTGGACACTCGATCGATATGTTGGCCAGTGTATTAAGGTGGCTCGATACAGTTTCTTAGGGTGAATACCTCCCACGTTTGAGCGTAAACTATGTTGCCATAAACAAAGATTTGGAAAAATTAACACCACAGTTGTATTAAATAAAGATGAAACTTTGTTATGATCAGATTTGCAATGACATCGTAGTTGTTATGGCAACGAAATGATGCCATTACCTATTTTACTTGCAGCAGTATATCTCGGCTCTGGGAACTGTTCTTCCAAAATCGTTTACTAAAGTTTTTTCCTACAATAGTCGCCTCGATGTTCGTGAAGTTTAAGCGCAATCTGTAAGAGCGTTATCGAGATATTTTGGGAAGAAGTTTTTATGTTTAGAAATACGGTAAAAAATGGACAATCTTGATGTTCGACTGTTATCTGTGCTAAACGAAGCGCTTTTGACATGCAATTTCACCTCATAGTAGTTTCAATCTTTTTAAAAACGTGTGTGAAAGATCATTGAGATACCTCCAGCCGATTGCTAGAAAGAAGGATTTGATTAGCATGTATCGGGGCGCTCTTATTAGAAATATGTAAACATTTCGGTCTACTTTAACAAATTAGCGAATAATTTTTAAAGCGCTCGATAAATTTTTTAAAAAATTTAAGAGTCTTGAGATAAACCGTCCTTTTATATGACCTCTTAGTTTCAAGATTATTGATATATTGTAAGGTAGTAAAATAAGCGCTTCAATTCGCTAATATTTTGTCAGAAATTTTGTCTTTACAAGTGAGAGTCTCTGATTATTCGGGGGTATTGTCTCAAGGTTTCATTTTCACGTGAACAGCAGTAACTAACAATGCACTTGACATATGCAAAAATGCTAGCTATTGTTGTGCACGAAAATATGAATTTTGGAGACAATACCTCTGAATAATGAGAGGCTATCACTTGTGTAATATAATATGTGCTTTAAAATCAGAATAGGGGAGCTGGGTTTCAGTGTTACACATGAGATATCGTGGTTCAGGAGTTTGAAAATAGTTTCTGCTCTGTTGTTTGTCTCATTCCACGTCAGTCTTGCCATGTGAACTTGTTGGATTTCTGCCGTGTGTTATAATGTTAGATTGTTTTTGAATACTTTTCAAAGGTGATGCCATAGTGGTCCCTATTTTTTTCCCCCAAAAAATTGCGCACACTTGAAATTATACTTGCACATTTATAGTCAAGACTGGTAAAAGCCACCAAAGCCCCTTAAAAATTGCTGCATGGACAATGTAACAACAAAAATTTGAGAAGACAAAAAATGTACCATCGACTAAGTAGCAGTGAAGTATTGCCTGAATGTCGGTAGCCCATCGATCGATATGTCGGCCGACCATCTGTCAACATACTGACCAACACCATCAGCTAATTTGTTGGTCGACATGTTGGCCGAGAGATCAACCAGGATTCGGCTGATATGTCGATCGATATGGCAACTGATATGGCAACCAAGAGTTGGCAGACATATTGGCTGACATGTTGATTGTGTATCGGCCGATAGTGTCAACCAATACTTGGCCTAGGGGTGCACAAATTACACAAGATCCCAAATCAGTTCTATTTCATGAAAAACAACTGCGAAAACCTGAAACTGTCATCAAAGATGGCTTTTAAGCTAGAAATGGAACATCAATTTCCACTTGGAATATTCTGTCCAGAAAAACAGGACTACCTTTTCAGAAGTTCCATTGCTCCCAGAAGTTTTCTGCTAGAATGACTCCAAAAGTCAGCTTCCACTTGCTTTCCAACCGGAAATGGTAAACATCCTTGTAAATGGTACCAAAAAAAATTGTAAACAGTAAACAACCTTGGAGTCCACGTTATACCGTAAAATTCAAAAAATAAGCCCTGGGGCTTATATTTTTCAAAGGCCCTTTTTGAGGGGCTTATGTATGGAGGGAAATTTGCGTTTCAAAATCATCTGGGCTAGCTTGTAGTGGGAAGGAAATTAACCATTTTTGCTTTGTTTTACTTGGTATTCGAGGGCAAATTCCAAGTACAAGCCCCCAGGGGGCTTATATTCGGAGGGGCGATTTAACCGAGGGTTTTTGCGTTACGATTTTGGGGGGCTTATATTTGGAGGGGCTTATACACGGAGGGGCTTATTTTCGCAATTTTACGGTATATCTAGTAAGTTAAACTTAATATTTGGGATCCATGTTATGGTCAATATTGACAGCTATAAAAAAGAGTGTCCACTGACCAGTGTCACATGACTGTATTACAGGCTCAGGTGTCCATTTCATTGAGGTGACATGTTTTTTTAAAGGTTTTTGCTGACCGAACAATTATTGGCTTTCAGCTGGTAGCAGGCTCCTAGGGGGTGGGGGGGTGGTACTTCGGATTTCAAGTGATCGAATTAGGGGCAAAAATCGAAACCCGAAAAAATTCTCAGGACTTCAAACAAAACCAAAAAATCCCATGCGGAATTTCCTAGCTATAAAATTTCCAGAAAACATTAAATGAGATATAACACAAAAAATAGAAACATAAGTAATGGAATGTTTGTGTTTGTTTATTCATTTCTCCATCTCTCAAGACACCCAAGAACATATTCTGTTACAACAGTAACATTATGGAGAATGACAACTCTAAACTACGCGGCCAGGATACGCAGGAACTATCAAGATTGTTCAGATTGTTTTGAATACCCCAAAAAATCTCTACTTAAAATCTGGAGTCCTCCCCTGGGGGCAGGCTAACTTCCATTTTGTTTAGGAGGGATTCAGCTGAAAGATCCCACAAGAGCTTCTCTTTTGACCTTGCCTAAATTTATACTACAATTTATTCTTCATTGAAAGAAAAAAAGGTTTTCTTGAAATAAACTAGACTGATGTGGCATTCTTATCCTTTTATATAGTTTAGCCTTACACCCAGATAAACAGTTGGTAGCAACTGGACAAGTTGGCAAAGATCCATACATCTGTGTCTGGGACACACGGTCATGTCAGACTGTATCAATCATGAAAGACACCCACCAAAGGGGAGTCACATGCTTGGCATTCAACAGTTCCGGCACGGTAAGCTTTGCTGTGACATGCAGGTAAACCACACAACTGCCTTATTGATAACTGCTAAAAATAGGTATTGTTTGCATTCCTGCATTTGGAAACTAAATTGGATACAATAGCTTTGAAATTACTACCACAATTTTATACATTTAATTTTTATCAGATAAACTGGTATGAATTGTAATTATAATAATTATTATAACATGAAAATATTGGTTTCTCTCAGTTAGTATAATCTCTGTGGTTAGTTATAGTCTGGTGGGCCATTTTCTACTCTGTGGCCTGCTTGTGGTTATTTCTCCTTGTCTTGCAAACCTTGTTTTCTTTGTGCATAATTTAAGATGTGGAGCCTCTGACTTTCTCCTAGGGAAGAATTCCTTATCACTCACACATTTCTTCCTTGGGCTGCTATGATGTAACAAACTTCGTCCATTCATGTCGGTCCATGCATGTGTACTGCCACATAATTATCTCTCTAACTGAGTTTGAGGTCTGTACTGTAAGTGACACGATGAATTCTTTTTCGCCTAGAATAAGCCATTTACAGTTACAAATGGAAACAAGGCTGTAGTTGACTTCATTTTGATACAACCATTCCTGCTTTATTAGCATTTATTAAATCATGGCATTCTTATGCAAACTAGTATTTTTTAAGCATAATTTCGATGAGAAAAAGGAGGAGGTTTGTGTCAATTTTTGTGAGTAAGCCATAAATCTGAGCACCTAAAATAGGGACCTTCTGTAAGTTCCTTAGATATGAGGATGAACCACCCCCTCTTACGGCACTGAACTAACTCTTGTGCAGACGTAGTGTCCATCTCCATGCACCACTTAGTAAATTGAAGCCATGTGCCATTATGTTGGCCTTACCACATCTACGTAATGTACATGTATGTGATAGAGCTGTTTAACTCACATCAAACCTTTTTTTGAAGGACCATTGGCAAGACTCCTTGTACTTACAAACTGATTGTAATGCTGTTTGTAACATTTTCAGCTGCTTGTGTCTGTGGGTCTGGAGGACTATCATCTGATTGCAGTTTGGGATTGGAAAAAGGGACGTGTGTTGGCTACAGTGAGGGGACACACTGATCGAGTGAGTAGTTTTGAGCAGTGTTAATTATTTTAAACAGTCTACTCAACAGGGACATCGTTACTTCACAATATTTATTTTATTGAACTTGTATAGACAACAAATTCTGCATTGGCTTTTTGGCCCCACATGTCTTTTTGTAAGTTTTGATTGTTGCATTAATAATTATTAGTCAAACATAAGTTGCTGCTTTGCAGTCTTTCCTTCAGTCTTCTCTTGTTTCTTCCTGTAGATATTTGACATTCAGTTGAACCCATATCAAGAGAATTTGTTGGTTAGCTGTGGAGTCAAACACATCAAGTTTTGGACCCTCTGTGGAAATGCACTAAATCCTAAAAAAGGTCAATGATTCAGACTTAATTTCTTCCTATTTCTTCTAAAATTTAAAATCCATTGTAATTAAATACGTCAGTTGAATGAAATGAATTGTTACCACTGGTTATCAAACCTAATGTCATCTTCAAAGTTAAACATGTGCATGAAAAGAATGGGCAATTTAAAGAATGGTGCTTATACTTGTATATAATGATTTCTCCAGAATAAGAGAGGTAATTTTATAGATCATTTGAACCACACAATACTAACCTTATACAGAACATATGCAAGGGGACTATTGCTGTATGATTCATACTCTTCCTCTTCTTATGACAACTCTAAAACATCTGTCACACCTGTTTTATGTGGACAGTTCTATGATCAATATGGTCACCTCTTCATGCATACAGTTGAATCCGTCTCTTTGGTTTCTACAGTGAATATTAATAGAGGATCAAGTGTTATGTTACATTTGATATAACTACTCAAAGGAAAACAACTCATGCATGATATACTGGTACTTTTGTGGACACCAGAGAGACAGACTCATGCAAGTAGATAGGTTATAGATGTGTCTCTATAATTATAAGAAAATTGGCTAGAAATTGTGTGAAGTTTTGAGTGCATTATAATTACATCAAGAGGAGTATGTAAGCAGTGTACCTGATAAAGTAGCCACTGTTTGTAATAGTTAAGTACTTAAGTACTTTGTAAGAGTTCTCTTGTTTATGTTGTAGGTAAAATCTTATTTGCAGACTTAAAGCAGTATCCAACGTTGTTTGATCCAGAATTTCCTTTATTTTGTAGCCCTACATTGTAATTACAGCGCTGTACTCATAGGAGACAAAGGGCATTTCTGGTGAACCTGTGAGAATGAATATTTACCAACAACATAAAATTATAAGCATTATTCTAATGTTTAATACTCCTACAGGTGTCTTTGGCAAGGCTGGAGAAATTCAAACAAATCTTTGTTTAGCATTTGGTCCTAATGATGTGACATTTTCTGGAACTCTTAGTGGTGAAATTTACAAATGGAAAGGTCATAACCTGGCAGGATCCATCCCAAATGCTCACACCGTAAGTGAATTATAAATTCCAACTGTTTTATTCACTTTGAGTGATAGTGATGGATATGCATGTAAACAGTTTGAATACTCAGGTTTAATGCTAAACTTGATTCACTAATTACATGTAAGAGCTGATGCTGACTATCATTACAAGCTGCAGCCTCGATTTTTGGGACGAAGCACATTCAGTTTCTGGTGTGCATCAAACACACATCACGTGTAATATTATCCAGAGGGAGAGCCATGGAAGAAAATTACGATAACAAAGTAAATTTCACTTAAAACCAACATTACCTGTCGTAAGATTGGGCAAACCGGATGAAAGCCAAAGTGCAAAACAAAACAAAATTCTGATGAGTCATCAAAACTAGTCACTCACTCATGCCCATGAACACCATCAGGCATGTAGGGCAGCAACAAAGGATTGTCACCCCTGTCTGTTCTGGGCCAGCTTCTGAATGGTTCCGATGACTCTAGATGCCCATCACACCCAGTAGCGTCGATTTCCTCTGTTGCTGTTTCTGTAACAGGAGTGTTTTTACAGAACAGGTTTGTTAGTTCTGTATCCAGCCCCCAATGTGGAGGACCAGTGGATCCTGCTTTGTCAGGCCTCTACCCCTCGACATGTCTGGCATGGGTGGTTGTACCAGGAAACGAATCTCCTGCCAGCATAGCTCTAGGGGTTACTGAGACACGCAAGCCCACCGACCGCGACGTGTAGGTGATCCTTCGGTAGGATCAGATCTAATGATCTGTAGAAAACAGCAACTTCTGGCTGGCATATGATTGATTCCAAAAAATCTACTGAATTATCCAAACTAACACAATGCGGGAAAACTGCAACTAGTCTAGGACCTGGCTCCACATTGGGGGAAAAAGGAGGGAAAAAAATGGTGTGGGTGAAAAAAAAAAATTTGGCTAGTGAAGGAAGCCGAGCAGTAGTCTGGGAATGGGAAAGGGTGGGAGAGCCTGGAGACATGCCTTAAATGCCGCCAATCTGCCCTCCAGCAAATAAGCTGTCATTGAAATATTAACACGTCAAGTTCTCATCACGGATATTAGCCTGCGTGTATTATTTCACTTTTTAAAAAAAATATTTGAATACACACAGATGAAGTAAGATTGTATAGAAATCTTCTTAACTTTGATTGCCAACTGGAGTAACACCAGCTTTGGCGAGGTGAAATAAGACTCAAATAAAGACATTTCAGAGGAAAATGTGCTGTGTGTGATGGGTGTAGAACAGCCAAATAGATTTTCAAGGAGATCCCTCAAGTTTGCGTTACAATGCTTGTTGACATAACTTGGTACCAGAGGAAATTTTGCTCAGTAGAGTTTATATCCTGTGGAGGAAAAATGAGTAAGTTTAGCACCTTATGCGAAGACTATTCAGTTCGAGTGTACATGTATTCCTTTTGAATTTGTTGTCCGTTTTATAAGGTTTGTCTAATCAAAATTATGTAAAAGTTAGTAATAATCATTTTCCTCAACCACTGTTATCTCTCTTGCATGCATGGCTTTTAGCGTTCATGAAGTCGTTGGCGTTGCTTGTCAGTTGGGTAGTTAGTTTCTTAACTATGCTAATAACAAGCAATGCGAACAACTTCATAAACTCTAAAAGCCATGCAAGAGAGAATCCACTGCTTGCAGAGTCTCCAAACAGTTGTGGTTTGCGCGTTCTCGGAGCACAAGGTTTACCTGTATGCAACATGTATTCTGTAAATATATCCACGCCTTTGGTATGAACATGATTTTAATGCTGTGCCTTTTGAATGTCAGTTTATAACTCAATCGCTTTGTAAATGTGACCTTAGTTTATCGCAGGAGAGTACTTATAGGAAAAGTTTGATATTTGAATGCTTTTTTTTCTTTTTGCAACAGACCAAAGGCATATTTTTTGTTCTTCTTTGAGCCAAGGGATAAGCAATAAGTCTCGCAAAGAAATTTGTATTGCTTGCTCGAAATCTGTGTTTTTTTAAAAAAAATATTTTTCTGAATAATTGAAGAAGCGTGATCCTGAAAGAGTCCAATATGGTCAACAGCACCACAAATCTGTCAACGTTGGGACTTTTGACCAATCAGAGCATGATACCAGAATCTGGTGTTATGGAATGGCAGCATCAAAGGCATCTCTTCAGGCTCTGCCACCCTTTCCCCCCTTCCCAGCCCATTGCTTTCCTAAAAATCTACTGATTATTCAAGCTAACACAATTTAAGAAAGCTGCAAATGGCTAGCTAAAACACGATTGATTTAAGCTATGACTTTCCCCCTTTTAAAAAATGGTTTCTCTTCACCTCTTAAGCTAGAGTGCACCCCGTGTAAACCAACCCCAAGCTCATCTATTGGTGATGAGTTTAACCGTAAGAAAAATCTCTTTTCAACTTTTAACCTTGGCCTGTAAAACAAGAGATAGAGAGGAAAACCTACTTAGTAAAACTAACTTAATACTCGGAAAACTGGCGTTTATTAAATGGACTGTCTCAGATCAATCATAGAATCACATTTTTTGGGGGATAGTATTGCGTGACTTATGTTTGCATCAACTTTGTGTATAGTATAATTATTTTTCAACAATTTTCTTATCCAAAAAGATAGTCTTGGTTGATCGTATACAAAGAATTGCCGGTTGCCAAGTCATAATGGTGAAAAAGAAGATGGGATATCCTAAATGTTGCGCATTGTTGTAGATGGTTTGAGCATTTTGGCAGGATCAGACTCTTGGCAGCATTTCTAAATGCCCCTTGAATTATAATATTTGCACGTTATCAAATAGTGATCGAGGATCTACACAACCATGATTCCTGTGTCGTCAAATCGGTTTCAGTGATGTCAAGCTTAATCCTGTGCTCGAACTCTCGAACTCCACATGTGAGAGCCATATATCGGTGAACACAGCTTCAGTTCCTCGGACATAATGCCAAGTAATATCCAGAAACCATTGCTATATTGAACTATTGAACCCATTTCAACTGCAGTATGTAACTTACTGAATATTACTTTGGCGGGATGTTTGATGGGACCTTCATCAAGTGCCAGACTTTACCATTTGCTTAACCAAAAAATATTTCTTATTTTGAAGACTTTGCGACAAGACCCTTTTTTAGCGCAAACCATGAAGTATTTTCATGAAGCAATTTTGTCGAGAAGAATAGCTCAGTTAAAATATCTTACTGTGGCAGTATATATTCAGCGTGTAGTGTATAAGCTCTGATGTTTGATGCAAATTGTACCCTGTCCTAAAAGTGAGTGTATTGACTGATGAACTGACAGAAAGCGATTAATGCGCATACCTGGTGTGCGCAAGGAAGTGTGTGAACTAATTACAAGAATAATGCCTTGTGGTTACTTGAGTCCATTTTGTGGGTATTTCCTTGGTGAAAAAGGATGCCTAGTGCATGCACAAAAACTGACTTTGCGGCTTGTAACGATTATGCTCATAAGAAATATTGGAAAGAAACACTTTTAATGAGATTCTCAGACAGCTAAGAAAAAAGGTATCTGTATATTTGATAGCAGATTTTGTTTGCATTTTTTTAAGGGTGCGATTTTTACAATGCATAGTAATAGTGATGGATATGCTACAGGATCAAAGGATGGAACTGTTATCCTGTGGGATAATGACTTTAAACCCATCACAAAACTGGACATGATTAACTCTCCTGTTGGTTACGAAGGTAATCTGAAAAAAAACATTTAAGTGTATTCACCTCTATGTCATTTACTCAGAAGATGGCCTTGTAGTGTAGAAAATTTCTGAAAATCTGCAATATATAGGAATTTATATTTCATACTGTCCAGGTAAGTAAAGTCTCAAATCTTGGATACTTCAGTTTTAAGGAATAATGGTTAAATAATTAGTGAATGAGTATTTTATTATGCTGAGTACTGTGGGTTGACTTGCATGAGCTTTATTTTTCACTGGGTCCTATTGACCTATTTCTTTTCTTCCCCTCTCATTACCCCCAACACGATTGTTTCACTCAGCCATCCCCATGAGATTCTGGTTTTCTTTATTTAGATTAGAAGGCGGTTTTGACTGTAACAGTTGAAATTACCCTGTGAAGCAATGTTAAATGTAAGTGCAATTTTCTTTGCCAGGATTGTCTGTGAGGAGTACTTTCTGGTCAGGTGAAAAAATCCTTGTTGGTACAAACGCTGGAGAGATTTTTGAGGTCTTTGCAACAGAAAAAGACAAACCAAGAACTATTATACAGGTCAGTATTACCAGTAATGTAAATTAAGGGTATTTTAAAGAACATCTTAGCACCCATGCAGAGATGTGTAGATGAAACTGTGATGCTTTGTGCCATTCTTACTGCCGTTTCCATTTGGGGTTGCTTGCACTCCTGCAACATTTTCACTCCCAGGAGTGCCAAAAATAAAAATAATAATAATAGAAATAAAAAAAACATGAAGAAAAATTAATTTTGAATGCCATTAAAAAAACAAAAAGTTCCTCAGGAAAGTACTTCAGGTTTCATTTGAGTGGCAAAACAGTAGGATTTCGTCCAGAGCTGTATATCAACAGAACTCATACAGAAAAAAGTCCTCATGGTGACCAACACCTCATTTCTAATGATCACGTCACTGCTAAATCAAGTCTCAAGGTTATGCGAATCCTAGAACAGTGTGATTATAGGCCCAAGGTGCAATGAGCTATCACCCCATTTAGTGGGTTGGTGGTGGTGGTGGTGGTGGTTATGGCTCTGAGGGGGTTACTTGTAGAAGAGGAATAATAAATATTACCTTTCACTCTAGTGAAGCCAACTTATTCTTGAACAATATGTTTTGCCAGGTCATATTCGACTTGGTATCAAACCAAGACAGCTTTTGATGTAACTTTTGTGTTATAATGTTAGGGCCATGCTGAAGGAGAACTCTGGGCTTTAGCAGTTCATCCCAAGAAACCAATGTTTGCCACTGGCAGTGATGACAGGAGTGTAAGGTTATGGAGCATGTCTGACATGACGTTACTAGCACGAACAGACTTGAATCAAAAGGCTCGTTCTTTAGGCTTTAGTCCTGATGGCAGTCATTTAGCTGTGGGCCTTGGAGATGGATCATTCATGGTCTTAAAAGCAAGGTATGAAGCCAATTGATGTTTGAGTGATCTAGAGTTCTTGCCAAACCTTTTCAATATGAAGAGAACAGTTCCTTTTGTTAAGTGCTAGATTGTGGTACCCCTTAAAAATCTTTACTGGTTTCAATTTACTTTAAAGTTGCATACATGTCTTTTAAAAAGCTACGTGGGAGATTAATCATTTTTTTGCAATTTGTTCAGAATAGTACAGACTTGTGACTCTTGGTTATTATCAAGTTTTTTATTATTAAGTAACATCTGATTTTTATTTATGAGGTGTCATCAGATTCTGAAAAGGCTCATTTCTTATAACTGGATGAGGATCATCTCGGCAACTGCTACAGATGTCAAAACATCCATAATCTGTTAGCTGTTCAGTTGACACATTAAAGAAATTATCGGTCTAACATGAAATTTCTTGCTGTCAAGAGAGTAGTTCATAGTGTTCTTGATTCCAATTAGGGACTTGTCAGAAGTTACACATATAAAAGATCGTAAAGAGGTTATCCATGAATTAAAGTACTCTCCTGATGGCCAGCATCTTGCAGTAGGATCCAATGACAACTTTGTAGACATTTATTCTGTGACGCAGCGCTACAAGAAAGTTGGCGAGTGTAAAGGCAGCTCTAGTTTCATTACTCATTTAGACTGGTCTATGGATAGTAAACATTTGCAGACAAACTCTGGCGCTAGTGAGAGATTATTCTTCAAAATGCCAAGTAAGTTTATGACTTACACCAAACAAACTAAAAAATTATTAAGGCATATTTCCAGTTGCCTTAGTGATGCAAGGCACAATACAGCTTCTTAATGATCTGTTACGTGCATTTCTCCAGTATACAGTGGAACCTCGATATAACAAAGGGCTAATATCGAGGTTCTTTTCCATATATTTTACTATCGAGAACTTCGTTATATAGAGGTTCGTTAAATCGAGGTTCCACTAAGAAATACTTGCTGACACATTTGTCGAAAGTTGTTGTCTGTTAGCATAGAGAGAAACTTTGCTTAAGAGCAAGGAATATAAAAAAAATGAATGTATGTTAACTGTCCTTCTCTGCTTTCTTAAAGAATGACGCTTTGAAAAATTTGAAACTTTGCAGTTAAATCGTGTGGTTCTACTCGAGTCTTGCAATCTCGTTCCCTGGGCTTTTCCCTTAGAAACCCACCCATTTTCTTAGGGAAAAGCCCTGGGGAGAAGATTGCGAGTTTTGAACATTTTGTTATAATACTTCTTTCTGTAATTGCTAGGACTGTAGACTACGAAACGTTGGGTTGTATTATTTTTATTACACATGCCAGAATATTGATATCCCAGAAGTAACCTATTAGCATTTCAGCATCAACTATCTTGTATTTGAATTTTTCTTCTAAGGTGGAAAGAGGATAGCGAACAAAGAAGAGATCAAGGCAATTCACTGGGCGACATGGACATGTGTTTTAGGTGTAGAGGTGAATGGTATCTNAATCTCGTTCCCAGGGCTTTTCCCTTAGAAACCCACCCATTTTCTTAGGGAAAAGCCCTGGGGAGAAGATTGCTAGTTTTGAACATTTTGTTATATTACTTCTTTCTGTAATTGCTAGGACTGTAGACTACGAAACGTTGGGTTGTATTATTTTTATTACACATGCCAGAATATTGATATCCCTGAAGTAACCTATCAGCGTTTCAGCATCAACTATCTTGTATTTGAATTTTTCTTCTAAGGTGGAAAGAGGATAGCGAACAAAGAAGAGATCAAGGCAATTCACTGGGCGACATGGACATGTGTTTTAGGTGTAGAGGTGAATGGTATCTGGGAGAAGTACACAGATACAAATGACGTCAATGCTTGTGATGCAAGCTTCCAGAATGAGGTTTTAGTCACTGGTGATGACTTTGGCCTCGTAAAGCTTTTCAGATTTCCCTGTCTAAAGAAAGGTAAGCTTAAAGATAATCATCTCATAGATCAGTGCTAGCAGTATGGATCAACAAAGGTTGACAATCTTGAACAGGGGGAGCAGGTGATAAAGACCAGGGAATTTACAATATTGGCCGGCTTTCTGGAGGGTTTGCATTGTGGACCATGAGGTGAACATTATTGGCCAGGGAAAAGCTTCTGCTTCCCTGAATGTGCAAAAAGCAAACTTTGAAGGTGCTTTTACCTTTTTCTCTGTTCCTTTTGCGCTCTCTTTCTGCTTTTCGCATAGTGATTTAGGAACACTTGGAAGTGTTAACGAATGTATTGTTCAATGACACGTCCAGTCGAGTTTTCCATTGAATTTACTACGTTTTTGGTATGCGGCTCATCCAATTTCCTAGAATTGCCTTTTTTTGCTTTCTTTGGAAGATTCTTACTGCAGAAGCTGTATTCAAGGGCCTGTTTCGATTTTCTCTAGAAATGTTAACATGTAAGTAAATTAATGTATTCAACTACTTTTTTACAGGTGCTAAATTCAGGAAGTACGTTGGACATTCAGCTCATGTGACAAACGTTAGGTTTTCTCATGACATGATGAGAGTGATTAGCGTAGGTGGCGGAGATCACGCAATCTTCCAATGGCGTTACTTACCTGACGGTTCCCATGGTGATGATGGTGATGACGTCGATGGTGGAGCATACATGGAGTCGTGCAGCGATGAGAGTGACTCCGAAGCTTCGGATGCTGATGAACTTGACAGTGATATTGAGAATGTAAGTTACAGCTCACGTGTCAACAAGATTGTTTATTAACCCTTTCGACCATAGAATTTTCACCTTAAAACACGCTTTTTAAGACTAAAGGTATTTAAAACTTTTTTGCAAGTGGGAAACTACGCTAGCTTTCGTTTCTAGCGCAAATATACAGCAAACGCTGAAGAACATGCGGTGTTATTTAAAAATAACTAGCAGCGGAATTTTCTTTGCACTGAATTACCAGTTTACTTTGCCTTTATCTCTAGACTGCTTGAAAAACCACTGTCATTTTAGCATCTTCGGGAGGGTTTCTCGATTTTTTTTGCTGCGTGAAACGGTCGTTGAATCTGATGGCGTCATTAGTGACACTAGAATCTTGGTTTCACCACGTGGCCTACGGGATTTCCAGGTACAAAGAGATTAAAAGATTGCCTTTTCATTCATCCCTGAAGCGTCTATTAATCCTCAATGTAGGAACGTCAAATTGATTATGGAAGGACACTGTATCGTGAAGATTTACCAGCCCTGAAAGAAAGAATAAAACAGTCAAGAGATGAACAAGAAAAGGAAGAAAACGCCCCGCGTCAAAAACCTCCCAGTGAGGGGTTGAGATTAGAGTTTGTGTTCGGGTAAGAGATGCATTTCCGAATATTTATTCAGTACAATAGCACTGACCTCTGTAGTATTAATTTCATATTACAGGTAATGAAGGCTGCCCCGTTAAGCAGGGCTTACAAAGTAAGGCTTGATTCCCAGCTTGTTCGTTGGGCATGCAGTTTTCAGATCTAGCGGGGCCATTTGCTTGTTTGGCTCAGTTAGTCAGTTAGAGTTAGATGATTTGCCTGGACCCTTATTTCGGTAACGTGACATATTTCCTTTTCCCCTACCGTCCCCAATAGAGACAACAGAAAATAAACCACAGAAAACCCGTTCCCTCCCGTCTCATTAATCTTTCTAACTTTATTTTTTTTAGGTACCGTGGCTACGACTGTAGGAACAATCTTTTCTACACTCAGAGTGGCGAGATAGTGTATCATGTTGCTGCTTTGGGAATTGTATATGATCGTGAGCGTCATAAGCAGAGATTCTATAACGCCCACACAGATGATATCCTTTGCTTGTGTATTCACCCAGTCAGGGATGTGGTGGCCACGGGACAGGTAAACAGCGATCATCTTCTTCAGTCCAGCTTTTTACAGGGCTTAAGAGCAAACAGCCAAATCTTTCAACTGTTAATCTTAGGTTTTGTCGGTGTGTAAAAATTCAATACAGTCAATCCCCGTTAATAAGGCCCCTAAGGGGGCATAGAAAGTGTCCGTATCAACGGGGTGTCCGTATTAAGCGGGTTGAATTTAGAGAAAATGTAAGGGTTTTCTTACCCCAGGGACAAAGAAAACTGTCCGTAATATTGAAGTGTCCATGTTAAGCAGGTGTCTGTAAAGCGGGGTTTGACTGTACGTTCATTGATAGAAAATTACACAAGGAGTAGTCAACATTTTTTCCCAGTGTTTTGACCGGTTAGAAACGAGGCTTGACCGAGCAAAAATTTCGGATCATTATACGTTTCTGGGAAACTGCCCACCCACCCCTCCCCTAAGCCAGCATTGACACTTACCTCTCACTTAGGGCAAAACGTTGGCTTAGGGAAGGGTTAGGTGGGTAGTTTCCCAGAAACGTATGCCGGTTATCGCTTCCGGACATCGTCCGAAAGTCAGTTGAAGCCCTTTATTGTCGTCTTTACTTAAACGTGCCGAACTTCATGTGACAAACTTAAAGGAGCTGCGTCAGGAAATTTAGCCAAATTCCAGCCACTAGCACCTGGCTAACAAATTTAGCGAAACCTTGAATAACATTGACGGATTGCTGGTTTGCACGTGACGTCACGGCGGCCATGTTGGTGATGTGTTAAGGTTTCGGAACAAAAACATCTCTTTCCTCTGTGAACTAAACCGTATTTTCATGTAAATTCTTCGAGAAAAAATTCTGTTGTATTGACCACCAATACACCACCGACATCGCCGCCTTGTCACGTGGTTGCAAGCCAAGAATAGGAATAAAGTGGGTTAGATTTGCTGAGCAGTTCCAACTTGAAATAGCCGCATTAGGCCTTACTTGTGCACTCTCTGCTCTGCTGTTTCAAAACTGAACCGCCTTGAATCTTTATAGTAATAGAGGAATTTGTTGAAATACCCCTCTCTCCACTGGTAATTTGATTGCTGAATAACACCGCACTTAATGGTATTGAAATGTTGAAAGTCCCACAAAAGCCACCGTTTTTAACACCTTTTTTTAATTTGCATAGTTTATGCTGTTGGTCCGAAGTAGTTAACACTACTTGCTATTGTTGTTATATTATTTTATGGTTTTAATGTTACAGGTTGGACGCGATCCCGCCATTCATGTGTGGGACTCAGTGAAAATGGAAACACTAGCCATTCTAAAAGGGCAACACGAGAGGGGCGTCTGTGCTGTGGACTTTTCAGGTTATACTTGAATACAATGACTACTAGCAGATATTTTGTCAGTCAGTCTAGAGGGCAAGGATGCGAGCGAAGGAACATAGAGGGGACTGAGGGAGAGGTTTTCTCTTTCCGCCCTTTTCCAGTTTCCTCTCGTCTCGGAATATTTTTTTTTTCGTTCCTAGCTAGTGTCATGCGCGGAAAAAATCGAGTTAGATGCTTAATTGCTTTAGAAAATGGAGAGAGGTTTTTTCGCAAATCACAGACTTCCCCGGTACATAACGAAACTAATTTTGCAGAAGTGTTGACACTAAAAAAATGTAAAGGTAAGGTGGGTTTGAATTTTGATCTTTTTTCAGGTGATGGAAAGAAATTAGCCAGTGTTGGGCTTGATGATAATCATGTCATTGTAGTTTGGGATTGGAAAAAAGGCGAAAAGCTAGCAACAACCAGGTAATAATAGACTGCTGTGGGTGATTGCACTAAACGGTATTTAAAACAACGAAAATCGCTCTCAGAAACCAGTTAAGTCCATTTATTCATAATTAGAAACCTTGTTTACGATAAACAGTGTTATGAGGATTTGGTCTGTTTGCTCTACAGAGTCAATTATCCATCTAAAATTGACCTAACAGCTGGAGCCTCCTGGTAACCGGCCGTTTCGAGTTCGCCATGGCCGGTTTAATTAAAGAACTCAAGACGCATTTTTATAGGGTTAATCTCAGTCCGGAGTGGATCTGTTTACTAATTCCAGCGAGAGGTTAACCTGTTCAACACGCTATGTATGTTGTAGGCACTTTTCGGCCAGCATCGAGCGTGAACATTTCACTTCCGAGTGAGACCTGCTCTGTACAAATGTTATTGGCGTTTATTTTCAGCGGTAATTTTGATTGGAAAATGGATTATTAAAAGCATACACAGTATACAACAACAGGGTAGGAAAATTTAGCTTAATTGTAACAAAGTAATTCATGCTGACTAACGGAAAGTTTCATTGACAATTAGGAATTAATTTAAAATTAATTACATTACATTAAATTAATTTTTTGAACTCCAGGGGCCACAAAGACAAGATATTTGTGTTGAAGTGGAATCCTCAGAACACCGAGCAGCTGGTAACAGCCGGCATGAAACACATCAAGTTCTGGACGCAAACCGGTGGGGGTTTCACTTCTAAGCGAGGAACATTTGGTGATGTGGGAAAAAACGAGACAATGATGTGCGTGACTTACGGTAAAAACCCAGATCAAGTATTCTCCGGAGGCGCTAGTGGTAAAGTGTATATTTGGCAAGCTAACGTCCTAAAAGGTGCCGTTCAAGCGCATGAAGGACCCGTGTTTGCCATGCAAGTCTTGGAAAAGGTAATATGCAGTTAAGTATCTCTAAGACGGACAACACTGGGAGCTTCTCTTAGTGACCGTTTTAGGGAAGCCTAGATGTCCTCATAAGAAAGCTGTTTTTCTCATATAGGAGAGGGTTGGTAGTACATTTTGACTCTATGTATAGTATCGATAGAATGTTACTGGGGTCCTATCGAAAAGAATCCGAATATTTTTGAAAACGGATTAGTCTTTTCACACAAATCGACCTTCCTTCTACCCGAAACCAGTGAATCCGCTCACCAAAACTGCTCTCTATAGTGGCAGACTTGGCAGACTGTGGTTGTATTTCTTCGTATAAAAGTTTGCCAAAATGACGATTTCGCATGGACTATATACTACTAAACTTGGCTAATTGCCCTGCCTCGTGTTCAGTATTGCAAGCAGACATAATCATCTGGCCCCAGTTGTTCAAAAGGTGAATAACGCTATCTCGGCATCGTAGAAACCCCTCTCCACTGGATATAGCAATTGGTTTCCCCAGCACTTTTCCACTGGATAGTGATTTATCCAGTAGATAGCGCTATCCAGCGTTTGAACAACTGAAACCTGTATTTGTTTCATATTTACAACACATTCTTTCGCTAGAGCTATTTTTCACTCCGCATTTAGCTCTAATTTATCCTCATACCGTTAGGGTTTTGTAACTGGTGGTAAAGATGGCATTGTGGCCCTTTGGGATGAGAACTTTTCTCGCTGCTTAAAGAACTACAAGGTGACTCGTACAAGCCTTAGTTCTGGTCCTCCCTCGTCCATTCTCCTTGAAGATGCTCCCCCAATCCGAGCGATAACATTGGGACAGGGAAGAATATTGGTTGGAACTAAAAATGGAGAGGTACGCGTGTTTGTTTGTCTTATTAAAGGGTTTGTGTCACGAAATTTATCAAAGAGCAAGTAGTGAGACCTGCCACCAAATTGAGTGAAACAGACGGAAATAATCGCTCAAAAAATTAAAGTACTTTACAAAGAACACAGCAAAAGCAAAAGAAGGCACTGATGGACAAACTGGAAGAAGATTTAAACGGATTGCGTTGCGGTTTTTGAAAACGTGTTAACCTAACAATTTTTCAAAGTACATTTTTGCTGTTTGAAACGATTGAATGATATATTGGATGAGAGATTTGTTTTATATGTAGCCGTGATTTTGTTTGCCCGTAAATTCCTCGCTAAAGTTAAGTTTCTTAGCGAAAAAGGACGCATTATTGGCAATGTTAACCGAATCAACTTGACAGCCGTAACGTAGCCCCTTTATTCAATCATCTGGAATTCAGCCTCATCACTAGACACTTTCTGTTTTAAATGGAATGTGCTGGAAATGAGTCTGTGAGACCTTATGACCGCGGTGGGTGGCTGAAGTCCTTATTCCTGCGATTGTTTATCCCGCCTTAAAGAAATTTATTTCCCTAATCTACAGCCTCGCTGCAGAAATCCTGCAATCGAACTAATTAGAAACTGGGTTAATCCTTTCGCTCCAAGGGGTAGCCAAAATTCAAATTCAAGAAAATTATCAAATTTTATTTTCAAAATCCTGTTAAACAAATATTAGCGCGTTAAGAAGAGGGTTGAAATTTGACTGGTAACATCACAGGATTTCATCTAGAGGCTCTAAAGTTAAAGCCACCGCATACAATACATAAAACATCACCACAGAAAAGTACTGCGTGGTATCTGGAATGCACGCGTCTCACTCTAAGGACATACAAGCCAGTGACTGTCTAGACAATTCAAGCTGTATAATTAAAATCAATTTTGATTTCTTTATTGATTCTTTTGAATCTCAGATTATGGAAATCGACAAGAGTGGACCCGTCACAGTACTTACACAGGTATATTAATTTATTGCTTGTCATATTGGGATTGGAGCGGAATTTAGAGTTGTTATGTGGCTTAGGTGGAATATGGAGTTCCTTAGCTCTGCACACATAGCTTATCGGAACGAACTGTTTCTAGACGGCAAACATCTCTATTATACAACGTGATCTTAAAGTGTATTATGTCTTTATGTTTGATTCCGTGTTGCGTGCGTAGGGTCATCTTGAAGGCGAACTGTGGGGCCTGGCCTCTCATCCATCTGAGGAAGTCTGTGCAACTGTGAGTGACGACATGAGTGTCAGGGTCTGGGATCTAGCTGAACACAGAATGAAGAATGTTCGCAAACTGAAGAAAGCTGCGAGGAGCGTCACTTACTCTCCTGATGGAAGAGCTCTGGCGGTTGGATTTAAAGATGGTGAGGAAGTCAAGCTGGAAAGGAAATTGTGTCACGAAGGTTTTATAGGCTCGGTTAACTGCCACTTTTCGGGAAATGCTCCTGCTATTCGCCTGCCCCTTCCCCCCCCCCCCCACACACACACACACCCATAAAAAGGGGTGAAAATCGAGCTTAGCATTTTTCTTTTGGTTTGGAGGGAGTGAGGTTGCTTGTTGTTGTTGTTTTAAATAATTTATTTGCAAAGAGGAGGTAACGTTCTCATAAGCCAAGTGGCCCGTAACTTAACTGAGGCTGAAGCTGGTATCTTCGTTGAGAGTTAAGCGTCTAATAACAAACTGCTTATGTGTTCTACTTCTGTGATGCTCAACAGGTAGTTTTCAAGTCATCGACTCCTCTACCTTGGATGATATCGTTGGATTTCATCACAGAAAGGAGGAAATATCAGACATCAAGTTTTCCCCTGGTAGGGTTACCGGACAGATTTGCCTTCTGCTCATACACTATCTTTGCCCCAGTTGTTCAAAAGGCGGATAACACTACCTACCGGATAAATCTCTATCCAGTGGATAGTGCAATTGGTTTCCCTAATACTTAGCCGCTGGATAGTGATTTATTCGGTGGATAACACTACCTACCGGATAAATCTCTATCCAGTGGATAGTGCAATTGGTTTCCCTAATACTTAGCCGCTGAATAGTGATTTATCCAGTGGATAGCACTATCCAGCTTTTGAGTCTAGGGGTGTAGTTCTAGGCCTGTAAAATATGGGTAGTTGTTTCATAGTCCATTATCGAATGTTATCTTTGTATTTTTTTGACAGGTCAAGGTAAATATTTGGCAGTAGCATCTCATGACAATTTTGTGGACATTTACAATGTGTTGAGCAGTAAACGAGTTGGAATTTGTAAAGGAAGCTCCAGCTACGTCACACATGTGGACTGGGACTCTAAAGGTAAAAATCAATCCCTATACTCTGATGTCCTGCTTCAAAACAGCTTCTACTGAATTTGTTGTGAAAGTGGAGTGCCTATACCCGTTTTACACTATCTTGTCAGTATTGCGTTACCTTTTCCTGTTGTGACCGTCAAAAATTTATTAGTATAAATTTACGTTCCAAGTTGATTTGGCTTTCCTGCAGTGGTGCATTTTTAAGCGCCCTCTACCTTAGCGTACGTGCAAGCTCTCAACTTTTATTATTTTATCATTTACCTTATTTTCGTTTTATAAACTTCGTCACAATATCGCAAGCGGAGAGAGACTAAACAAGCAAATAGAAAAAGCAAGACATATATCGCAACAAAATTTGAAACAATATGCATAAAAATGACCAGTAGGTACACTGCTCCAACTGTGGCGTTAAGAGGGAATCGCGAAAATCGAGGGGGCCCCTTCGCGATTCTTAAGCTTGCTTGCAGTTCCCTTTAATTTTAAAACAAGATAACATCGGATAGAACAGGGCACATTAAGTAAAAACCTTATCTCACAATTAACAAGAGTTTTAGCCTGTTTGCTAATTCTTTACGAGCACAAAATATACGTAAAGTTGTTAAGCTCTAACGTGATTTAGAGCTTCTTGTGTTCTTTGTAAGCTACGTGCTATGTCTTTGTAGTAGGAAATACAGTGGAACCTCAATTTAACAAAACTCTATATAACGATGGCCTCGAGATAACGAACGTTTTTCTTCAGCCCGGCAAAAATTGCAATAAAATGTATGGAACAGAACCTCGAAATAGCGAACCCTAATTTAACGGAGTCCTCGTTGTAACGAGAACAATCCAGAAACGCAAACGTAAAATATACCTCGATATAACGAATAAATGTTAACATATGACCGAAAAATAGCTAAAGATGAATGCAGAACAGACCATCGAGGATAAAAGTTATGTGTACAATAGTTTTACGCAGTTTTGTTTGCCTGTTCTTGTGTTTCTAGTGCCATAGCTATGTACAGTTCTGAACTGAGACAATAGCTTCGTATTCAAATGTTTATCGCGTTCGTTAGAGTGCATCCTAATCTGGTGTTCCTGTGGCACTTAGGTAGAAATTTTCGAACTAACACGGGCGACTGCAAATTAGCCGCCCTTATAAATTTTATCAGGGGCATCTCGGCGAGGAAACTGGACTCCTTTCGTCCCGATTTCGCGGTTTCCGTAAGTGACGAACGCGGATCCCGTAATCAGTGATTACCTCTAGTTAACAGAAATTGGTCAGATCCAAAAATGCTGGGCGTTGGAAATTAAGCATTAACTATACCTCGATATAACAAACATTTTGCTTGTTTTCCCAAAAATTCATTGAATCGACGTTTTCGATACAACTAACCCTCGATATTACGAACAAATTTTCTTAGTCCTTTGGCGCTTCGTTGAAACTAGGTTCCAACACTTCATGTCTTTTTAGGAAAGCTTCTTCAAACCAACTCAGGTGCTAAGGAGCGTTTGTTCTATGAGGCACCACGTGGTACTCGACAGACAATTGGAACCAATAAAGCTAAAGAGATTGAGTGGTCCACGTGGACGAGCGTGCTAGGTGAGAACTGTACGGGAATCTGGCCTCCACACTCAGACATCACTGATGTCAACAGTGTTGATTTAACCAAGGATAAGAAGATTTTGGCGACTGGAGATGATTTCGGATTTGTCAAAGTGTTTGAATTCCCCGTGAAGGTAAGTGACGTAATTGCATAACTGTTCTTATTCACTTTCGTATGTGAGGTACTGAGGAGTATATAGCATTAGCTACCACTCATCGATTCTACAGGACAGTATTGGTTTGACTAGGATTTTAGGATTAGTCGGAAGCTAGAACCTCCCTTGGGTCACAGCAAAACAACTAGGGCACAATAACTGAGTGACCGTGCATTAGAAAAAATGCTTTGGTTTCAAGCTCAAAATTAAAAGAAATTAAGCAATTTGCTATGACAAACCTGGAATGAGCGCAACTTCAGTTTTTTGGTTTTTCGGCGCGTTACAGTTCAAAGAAGCAAAACAAAGAATGCAGTCAACAGTCTCTTGCGTTTTAAAGTACATTTATTAATTATAGCTTGTCAGTAATTAAAAGTAAAGTATTAGAAATATTTATGCTAAGGCATTTTTCTATCGGCATGAAAGTGAATCCTTTTTCTCATGTATAAAATTACCAACTGAGTGAAAACGAAAGCAGAAGTCCGTTTACCCCTTATAGTCAAGTTAACTTGATCACTTTTACTTCTCGAGGATCTTTTTGATGAGTTATAACAACGACATCTTAAAAATCTTTCGGTCGTATCTTCATTTCGGACCTCTTGACAGAATAGTAGCTGTTTTTCCAGTGGTGCCAGGACATTCCTTTAGCATCGACCTTCCCATTGAGGTACAGACCATTTAGATTGGAGTGGTGGCAATTGTTGTACCACCAGGCGCCTTTCCAACGCAAGGCACAGTTTCCACCACTCCATTTGTCATTGTCACGATCCTTGGTGGAAAATGACTTACCACGATGCCAATTAAGCGAATCACCAGCGGTACCTGAGATCATAATTAACAATTAGTATTGGATGAGGCTTCGTATCATCCGAAGAATTATGGAGATCGAAGGAGGGTGTTATTGGCCGAGGCGAATAACACCCTTCGACTCTTCATAATTATTCAGATGATACGAAAGCCAAATACAATAATTGTTTTATTATTCATTTAAAATAATTTCTAGTTTAAAAACAAGCTAAAGCATGCTCCGTCGATGTTATGGTCATCTTCAATTGCCTGATTATCGGCAAGTTTAGGAGATAAAGGGTTTTTCAGTACTGCAAATATTATCCAAATAGCAGATGTCGTCCGTCGAGTTGTCTTCTGCTGTTCTTCCTATGTTTTTAGCCATTAGTTCTCCTATTTCCTCCTCTTAAAACGAGTGAAATGTTCCGCCATTATGCACTCACTACAAACAACAACTCATAACCTTTTCGCCAGGTCTTCTCGGTTAACTGAGTGTGCAGTTTTATGGTAATTATGCTGCACATTTGACTTCATTTTTCGCAAAATTCTTCCAAATTTGGCCGACAGTAGCTGGTTGTGATAAATTATGCGTGGAACTTTAGCCAATCAGAAGTGGAGAAATATATTGAATGAATAGTTATAGTCGTTATTTAAGACAGAGTGAAGTTGTCGCACGATATTTTAACCAAATGGTTGCTGTATAGGTGTACTTACCACATAATAAACAAAACTTGGCCAAAAACACTTTTAGTCCCCAAGGGGCTTTGTGCAGTTGAGATTGGTGGAAGTACCCTCAAAAGTTCAGCCCTATATATATTTGAGAGCTTTTAAAAACAACGACGACGTTGACGGCAACGAGAATGGCAAAAAGGGAATGGGTTTAGATTGGCAACAACTCTGCACGTCTTCCTAATTTCACGTTTTATGGAGGACGTGAACACAAGACAACGATTTTCTTTTTCTTTTTTTTGAACGTGGATAGAGTCCCTTAGAATTCAACCCCTGAGATAATCGCCAACATTTGACAAGTTAAAAGAGGTGAAATTAAAACGGCGCGAATTCACTTTTTGGGTGACTTTTTTGCTGCTCTTGCCGTCGTCGTGACGTTGCTCATTATTAGTTGTGTACTTCAATCAGTCTGTTAAGCTATTTGAATTCATCTACACTCCAACTTCATTCGCACTTATTGTTGTGTAGTCGACGCAAATGGGAGAAGAAGATCTGGAAAACTGCTCACCTACCTCTCTTCTAATTTAACAGTTTGCCTTAATTTCCCACTGAGTGAGAAGTTAGAGGAGAAGGGGGTAGTTTCCCAGAAGTAATAAAGTCAACTATTTTAGTCCACCAACGGGTTTTACCTGAATAACTTCCCAAACTTAGCTGATATTTCGCTCTCTCGCTTGTCACTGCAACTGAGCTGTACTCTGCAAATGCAGTTTTGCCTTGATGATCTTCCAAGTCCACTCGAAGTTTGTAACCACCACTTACAGTCAGCCGATGTATCTTGTCCAAACCGAGCCAAAACTCGCCGTTCAGATTGCCAAAACCGCGTTTGTAATCATCCCAAGCGCGGAAGAAATCAACAGAACCATCTCGCCTCTTCTGAAACACCGTCCAACCTCCACCGGCTGTTTTCTGATCACAGAACACTTCAAATTCGCCCAAACCATCAGGATTGATTTTGTACACTCCACTGATCTTCTTGCCGCTTTTGTAAACTTCAGCACAGTTCTTGTAAACTAAAAAAGCAAAAAAACCTACCCTTAGAAGATTTCGTTTTTTCTTTATCCCTGCACTGTTTCCACGATTAGACGACAAAATAATAAAGAGTAAATTGAGTATCATGGTTAAGTAAGGTTTGAAGAGAATGTGAGGAATCTTATTTTCTTTCAACGTTTTGCCTACCATGTCCTATCGTGTTCGGAAAATAGAAGAACGAACAGATTAAGAGAGCTTTGTTGAAAATACACACTGTTATTAACCTTTAAGACGACGTCCTCCAGTTTTGTTAGTTTTAATTGCTTTGATCTCTTCGAGAATTTCCTCTTTCATTTTCACCAGTTGTTGACCGATGTCTGTGCAGTTTGGACCTGTGTAGAGAACATGTATTGTAGGTTCAATAGAGTAAAACAGCAAAGGGTAGAGGAAAGAAAAGCGTACAAGCTTTTTACTAATTTCCAAACCTTTTACAGTTCTTGTTCCTCCAGTTATGTTCCTCGTCATTGCTCTGATTTCGTTAAGGATTTCGTGCTTTATTTCGGTCAAGGTCTGCGTGATTTTGTTGCCGTTTTGTCCTGCGTAGAGGTATGTAGCTATTAATGAAAGAAATCAGCGAAGGCCCTTCGGATAAAAGAAGTCAAGAATTATGTAGAATACGAGCATCTTTTTTTTTCGAAACAAATTCATTATACGGCGTTTTCGGTTTTGTTCCATTTCATGCCCCTGATTTCTTCGAGGATTTCTCTTTTTATTGCAGTTAGCTGTTGTTCGATGTTCTTGCACTTCGGTCTTGGTGAAAGTACAGAGGATAGCTTATAATATAGGTTAAGTCATTGAAGACTGAGGCCTCTTTAATTATCCAGGATATATATAAACTTATTTCGGTATCCTTTACAACATTCCCTCCGGTCTCTATTCATTACCTTGATTTTAAGGGTGATCGATTTTCTTGCATTTCAACTGAGTATTTAAATATATAGAAAGTTTGTACAAACCTTGTACAGTCTTTTCTCTGGTTTCGTTTCTTCTCATTTCCGTGATTCCCTCTTTTATTTCGGCCAGTTGTTGCTCCAGTCTCTTGCAGTTCGGTCCTGCGTAGAAGTTAGTGTTATAGGTCATATGGCACTGTGCTTTTCTCATCTGATCGCTTTTCGTGGGTTTGACCGACAAGTTTGCATTTGTCGCTATAAAGTAAGCGATTGCAACAGCTGCAAAGAATATTTTCATCCTCTAGCGACTTCTAAGAAGTTAGTTTCTGACACGAGTCAAAGCTAGTGATAGAAAGCGATTAATTTCCAAGACTTCAACAGTGGCATACCCATCGTTTTCAAAAGAAAATTTTCTTGTTTGTAAATACTATTTTTGGAGCTCTTGCATCATCAGTTATCGCCAATCACACAACTCCACATTTTGTTCGATGTGAATGCGCGACATTCGTACAAATTCAGGGTGGATTTATTAGCAGCACAGACGTATACCAAAAAAAATCGAGAAGCCCTTTATTTCCATCGCTCGACATCGCTTTCGCAGTGCGCGTATGCGGTATGCGATAAATCGGTGGAGCGACGCGCGTGGAATTTTTAATCTAAGATGCGGCGCCTAGCTCTGTGAAGAAATAAGCAGCAGGCGTCGCAATAAACCCCCGAGCTTTGCGAAAGTTTTTTTGAAGGAGAGATGCCATAGGCCTATAAAAACGTGTTTTTTTTTCTGATGGAGAGGGTCGTTCCCACCATTGCACTGTGTGTACCTAAAGGCAAAAGAATGGGATCTCTGTAGGTCAAAATAAAAATAAATTATTCATGCTTCTACCGACTTCCTTTTGTCTCGTAAAGTCATTATAGGTACTAGCAGCGGTACAAATATTGTGAGGTCTTGGAGGCTGATAACGTGACAAGGAAACCCTGTCATTCAAAATGAAAACTTGTGAGGCCTCAATTTTTATTTAAAAACCCAATTCTTCAAGACTGATTTACTAGGACCGTGGATCATGTACATGGTCAAATTTAGGATCTTGTTGACGATAAAGTTCATCGAACTTGTATTTTATAAATGGCTGGCTAGTTGCCTCCTTTTCATGATTTTCCCGTCAACGAATGCGAATAATTAATAGCCGGTCGATCCGGCAATCGATCCAACAATCTCGCTCCTGCTCGTTATGATGATGAATTTTATTACGAAGCGTACGAACAATAGGCGTCTCGCACAGGTAGTTTTTGGGGGTTTAGCGATGCTTTTAATTCGTCTCTTGCAGAAATTCATTAGCAGCCTAGGAAAACTAACGTAAACCCTTTTTTGGCTAAGTATGTAGATACGTTGAAACAGGGTACCCGTTCAACATGCGACAAGTGTGCGCTTCTGCTCCAAATGTACATGTATTCAAGCTTAATTTAGTTCATTTAGTACTGAGCGTTGAAAAGACTTTCTCAAACTTCTTTAATAATTCATGAAGAAAATACAGAAAGTTAAATGTTTAATTACTGTTTGAAAATCAGATGAAAAACTGCTCATTCTTGCATCTTTAATGTCTTTTTCTAGAATCATTTTGTTTGAGAAGTAATAAAAAGCATTCGACACAGTATCAACACCTCGAAGTTTGTCAAAAATACTCCGCTGCTCGTCGTATTCTCAACTCTCTCCTTGGTGTTTCTTCTGGTGATGAAACACTGCATCTAATGCTTGATATATTACATGATCTCTCAACCCTTGTTCCAAGGGTTTTCTCCTACTCGTCTTTGGAAGTTAGGTTGTATTCACACTGTACCGGATAGCTCTTGCGCCGGCACGAAAATCATACCGGAGAGGGCTTCTGTTCACACACAAGAACCATAATTTCGGCGTAATGATTTCTGTAAGGAGGCAAAGCTACACCTCGCCGATCTCGAAAGTTGAGCGTCACATAACGGATACCGTCGGTTGCATGTGAGCGTGGACACGAGACAAAAAGGGTGCCAGACATGACGTGTTTTGCCGCCAAACATTTGAAGTTTGACAGCCGTGAAAGCAAACTGTCGCGCCAAAGCTAAGTTGTTTATATGTTTTTGATCAGCGCGTTCCGCTCATATTTCATTTTTCTTAACTTGCAGGCATATTTCTCGCTCAGAAACAGCACACTTGCCTCCAGAAATTATACTCAATGTCTGAAAATTCTTGCAAAGAATATTTTGTTGAGCGAAAACGATCAAGTCGACAACAGCCGCGTACTCCAAACTTCGAATGTTTGGCGGCAAAACGTGACACGTTTGCACCCAATCAGAACATGTTTTTTCCTCACGTGTACACGCTTAGATGCAACCAACGGTAGGTTCTGTGCCACACTTTGGTGCAGTGGGAACACTTATGCGGACCGAAGCGGAAGTGAATAAGTATCAGCGAATACACTAAGATAGAAGAAAATATTCGAGGATTAGGTCTGGGATTTAATTCACCAAACCTTTCGTCTTCCTCGTGATGTTCGATGTTTGTGAATGACTTGTTCCAGTTCTGTGCTGTTGCTATTCACACTTTACCGTTTCGGCACGAAAAGTGACGTGTATGCGGTATATTGTGAATATATACTTAGGGAGAGATCCTCCAAGATCTACAAAATTCTTTAAAACGTGTTAAAACAGAATTAAACAATTGGTTTATCATTTAATCTTTTTAAAGTTATTGACAGTCTAACCTCCAATAGTGTGAAGCTTAAAACCAAATTTAGTGACCGTCGGTGTCAGAGAGAGCTTTTTAATAACGGAACAGAAAGACGAAAGATTTAGAGCCGCAATTGCTGCTTACATTTTTCAGGGCAAGCATGCAAAGTTCAAGAAGTACGTCGGCCATTCTGCACATGTCACAAATGTCCGCTGGACAAATGACGACAGTCGCTTGGTTTCAGTGGGCGGAGCTGACACGTCAGTCATGGTGTGGTCACATGCTCGGGCGCACGATCGGGAAGAAGTCGGAGGTGACAGTGATGACTCGGACACAGACTCGGAAGAAGAAGGAGGGTACGACAGTGACGTGGAGAGGGAAAAGAATCTGACTTACGAAGACAAGATTTACGCTAATCCACTCCGTACCACCAAAGGAGTAAAGCCACACCTTAGAGAGAAACAAGACGATGAGGAACACAGGTAGAGTTATTATTTGACAAACTTCTAGACGCCTCAGAAATGTGCAGTCATCCTCCGCCTCCTTTTAAGGTGATGTTAGACGGGACGATTTGCAACGTCGATTTTTAACGCAACACAGGGTTCAAATATTGGAACAATATTGCAGCCATTCGAAACAATGAAATAACAATGTTGTAAGGCTGTGTTGAGCTAAAAATCGTCGTTGCGAATCGTCCCGTGTAACATCCCCTTTAAGCGTCCTCTTAAGAGTTGGCGACCTGGTAAAGAATTGTTAGGTGATATTTTACGTCCACGCAAAACATCAGACGTACAAAATGTTCTTCAATATTATTTGTTTAATGTCGTTGGTTCAGTCATGACCGATGTTTCAGTTTCTAGAAAACCAATAGAGTCTTCAACCTGTTGGGCCTTCTCTATCAAGAGTGGTTGCTACATTACACTTTCTCCTTACTTGCCGCAAAATGTTATGCCACTGAAACGTTTTTTGTTTGTTTGTTTTTTGTTTTGTGTCAGACCTGCTGTTAGCCGTGGTTCCAAAGCTCCGCCAAAAGTTCGTCAACTGGACCGGCAGAGGGAGTCAGGGAAGAAGAGGAGAAACCAAGCCATCCAGGTCCATAAATGTGCATGCTTAACCTTCTCACTTTTGTTTTAACTAGAAAATATAAAAGTTAGAACCACCGTGTAAAGCGTAATAAACAGTTCCACACAGAAGTACTGTTCGTTTGCTTTCATTTCAGTGGTTACACCACTCAAGGTTTTCACAGACTGAAAAGTTTGAACCACCCTGTACAGCATAATAAACAGAATTTCAGGGAAGTACTACTCAGTAGTTTTCATTTTAATGGCCAAACTAAGGATTTCATCCACAGATTTTGAATTTCCTTGCACAGCATAATAAACAGGAAGGTACTGCTCAGTACCCAAATGGTTGAACAACTTTTTCGAGCATAATCTGAACATCAGCACAAGAAACTGTAAACATTACTCGGTAGCTTTCAGCTGTCCCTCACACCATATTTTCTTGCCTTGGAATATTAACGCTATAACGCCTTCAGTTAAGTATTCTTCCACTTCTCAAGAAGGACTAACTACATGAATATTTTTCTACAGGAACTTAGTTTGGATTTCATTCATGGCTACCGTGGTTTTGACACCAGGAATAATCTGCACTACCTCCCAGAGGGGGAGATTGTGTATCATGCAGCAGGAGCCGGAATTGTATTGAGTACCGCTAATGGAGTACAGTCATTCTACCTTGAGCACACAGATGACATCATCTGTTTAACTGTCAATCAACATCCCAAGTTTAAGGCAAGCTAATTTGTCGCACCAAGTTCATTATTTTGTCAGAATCCCTAATTGTTTATTGTTAAAAGTTTACTTAATTATCACAACCGCCTTTGCAAACTACTGAAACAACCATAATTCGAAAGTTGTGCACAGGATACTAATGCCGAGCGAAATGGAAATTTAACCTTGCTAATCACCGTAGGAACTCAGGGGGTGAACCAACCTTTGTTAAGAGATGTAAAATCGTTAAAATGGCAGGCGGTGTCGAGCCACGAAACGCGAAAAAAAAAAAGGGCATGAAAATCCGTTATATATGTTGCTTGAAACTAGTCAACGTTGCCGAGGGCGTGAAATTTTCCAGACAATCGCTTTAAAGCCCGTGAAAATGTAATACGATTGTTTTTTCCTTATTGTTAGTTATTTTCCTTCCACTGTTTTGTAGAACATCGTAGCCACTGGTCAAATCGGTACAGAGCCTTGTGTGCACGTGTGGGACGCTTTATCAAAGGAGACATTATCAGTTATACAAGGCTTCCACACCAAAGGCGTGTGTGCTGTACACTTCAGTTGTAACGGAAAGCTTTTGGTCACTGTGGGTATTGATGCTGCTCATAGTATTGCTGTGTGGAAGTGGGCTGAGGGTAAGCTTACCGATTTGATTCAAGTAGTTCTCTTGCTCTTAGATGTGGGCCCGTCATGGTCTACGTGAAAGAAAGTCAAGCCTCACGATGCATATATCCAGATAGCGAGAAGGATGGATTTGGATTACCAGACGTTCTCTGTAATGATTGCGCTATCCTGTGGTTCCTTTGAACATTTGCTGAAATCAGTAACATTTAACATTCTGTCTAGCAAATAAGAGTAATTTTCCACTGGCTGATTGTAACGAAATAAGTGGAAAATGTTTTTCTCACGCACCACTGGGGACCTGAGTATAAGACATGTGACCGACAGGCGGGCAGTTGCTTTTGTTGCGTCCGCCATTACTGACCTTCCCACCCACCCACCCACCCACCCACCCTAAGATTTCAGTTTTGTATGCTGTTTAAATGTAATGTGCAACTTTGTAGCTTTGTTAGTGTCCCACCTTTCTAGGGGTATGTTATGTGTACATTTTTATGAACTTGCAATAAAGGTTAGGCTGCTGCGGTCAGCTTACCATGGCTACCTGTGGTGGGGAACTTTGCGACCTCTTTGAAAAAGCGAAAAGTTGTGTTGTTGTTGCTACTTTCGTTTGGCGTTATCCGAAGAAAATGGCAAATAAACTTCAAAAAATTGGTTTAACTGTTACTCTGGGTAGTGAAAGAAGAATTTACACATGGAATTATTGGGTGTCTATAAAGTTACTCTAGAATCCAAAAGATGGAACGCATTAAATAATGGTGAGGCCTTCTGCGTGTCTTTCCGTTGTAGGCAGCAAGTTAGCCAGCTCACATGGTCATACGGAGAGAATTTTTGTGGCGGAGTTCAGACCCGATTCAGACACTCAATTTGTGACGTGTGGAGTAAAACATGTGAAGTTCTGGACTGTGGCTGGCGGGCAGCTGATTGGCAAGCGGGGGTTAATGAATACATCCCAACAGATGGAGGGTGATGATTCCCAACTCCGAATGCAAACCATGCTCTCAGTTGCTTTTGGAGCGGTAAGAATTGCATTTAGTGATTACAGTACCAGATAATTTGTCAGCAAGATGCCTCTGGTGTAACGAGAAAGCATTTTCGTTCCCAGAGACCAAAAGGATAGCAGCTTTGGGAATAAGAATGACGTGAAAGTTGATTTATAGCGGACTAAGGCGCATGCGCGTATCATGCCGTAGGTAGTAGCCTCGTGGTGACAATTACAGTACAAGTGAAGTGTGTCACTGTCCAATGCTCAAGAAGCTTCAAACATTGATGCAGAAAGTGGAACCCAATTCTAGTCTCAGTAACTATCCTGACATTGTTTCATGTTTTTTCTTACATCTCCGCCATTAATAGGCAAAGAACCACACAAAACCTCCTTCAGTTTCCAAGGAAGTTTCTTACAAAAGAATTCATCTATAAAGAGAGAATTATAGAAACCAGTGCCAGGGTTATTTTATCGGAACCAAGGCTTAGTGAAGTGAACTTTACGCAAATATCGAGCAATCTGAAGTGCTACTGACTCCATTTGCTCTATAGGATAATCTGACGTTTACCGGAGCCATGAATGGGGATGTGTTCGTGTGGTCGGGACATAAACTAGTTCGGCTGGTCAGCCGGGCTCACAGTGGTCCTGTGTTCTCTATGCACACTACTCTGCGTGATGGGCTGATTGTCACCGGTGGAAAAGAAAAAGGGTACGTACTATAGATTGTACGAGAGGATGTTGCAGATTAAAAGACTGCTTTTAAAAATTGCAAACTGGTTTGTTATAAGTGGGTTTCCGTTTATACAAGCAAGTGTTAGATTGATAGAGTAATACCGACAGTTTGTCATATTTTTCAGATTTCGCCGCGTCGAAGAATTAGTCTTTAGTCTTTAGTCTTAAAGAAGTGCAAAACAAAAACAAAATACATTGAAAGTAATGTACCAATCATTGCCTGGGTGTGTGGCAGTGGGTGGGTAGATTCTTCCAGTGAGCGAGAATCCGTCACCTATTGAAAAGAACATCTAAAAATAAGGCGCTCTTTCCAAAAGAGTAGGTGGATTTTTGCTAACTGGTCTTCGTTGTCAAGAGTTAATTAAAAACGTGGAAGGGTCTATTCAGGAGTGTTTTTTACGAATTTGGCGAGAACGATTCTGTTTGTAAAGCGTCCTTACCTTTCGTACATAAACGCCCGCTTCTCTATATTTCGTTTTGTACTGAATTTGATCCTTTTCACGTTTCTAGAAACCCTAAAGAGGGTGTCGCTATTAAATTGTGGGATCAAGAAATGAAGAGGTGTCGGTCACTGAGCCTGGGGCCTGGACCATGCGTAGTGCGATCAGTTTGCAGAGGAAAGGTTGGTTATGACACAGGCTCACCACGTTATAATCGCTAAAGGTTCACCACGTTATAAAATAATAACCGCAGACTAAGTTGGTTAGTTGTTTGTTCAATTTTGTAATATGACTCGATTGTTTGCCACAGTCCACTTCTCGCATAAATACCTCATGATTTTGTTCTGCTTGTAGGGTAAAATCCTTGTTGGCACAAAGGACAGTGAAATAATTGAGATAACAGAAAAAACTTCCACGTCTCAGGTGAGCTTTTTTGTAGTATTACTTACAAGAATCTTAGTTGCGCTTGTTTATGGTACAGTTTATTTCATTCCTTTCTTTGTTAAGCCTTAGGAGAGCCTTTTAACGACTGAATTCTTCCGACCAATACTATTATACATGAAAATTTCAATAGTCTAAGCCGGAGGCGCAAACCGGCCACAAACGCTTATTTTCTACTGAGACAAGAGCAAAACTTGAAGACTAGCTTGGTGGTCGTCTTTTAGTTGGTCGCATCTTGCAGTATTTTAAAGTTTCTTTTTTTCTTTTTCAATAATGTTCTTATTCCTATTTCATTTTGTTTTAGCAAACACATCGATGTGATCGTTAACTCTGACGTAATTGACCAATCAGATCCATATCCAGAGTATAATACCATCAACTGACATGATACAACTCACTGTCAACAACAGTCCGATTCAGGACTACGTTAACCCGGACGATCAAACTCAACCTACTTTTGAAATGACTCCTTGGTTCAAACCTTTCACAGTTCTGATTACTTTGGCACTTATTTTAAATTTTTCTTCAGCCTTACTTTTTTTGATTGCTTGGTTGGTATTAATGATACTTGTTTTCCAGACTCTTGTTCGTGGCCATGGAGAGGGAGAGATCTGGGGTCTAGCCTGTCACCCTGATAGAGAAGTATTTGTAACTGCAAGTGATGATCAAACTGTTCGACTGTGGGACGTGGCTACTAAGGTACATGCGACGTTTAAGATTGACTCTTAGTTACTCTTTTCAAAAAGTGTTTCCCACAATATTACACGAGTATTTGTTATCGACAAGGCTTAACATACATCTGAGGAATTTACCTGATTTTCCTCCAAGGACGAGAACGCTGTCAGACATAAACTACCGACCTTTTGAACTCGACGGTGACTCAATGAAGCAGGAGACGAGTTCTATGTCTGGTATACAAGTTATCATGGCGTACTTTGATTTTGAAAAAAATAAACCACTTTCTCTTTAAGATATCGTGATAAAATGTCTAGGCTACAGCAAAAACCAAAGCAACTGATAAGATTATCACATATTTGAAAGGTTCATAGAATAGCACAATCGCGCGCGACTTTTGACTGATTTAGAGAACGCGGAACGCATTCCCAGATAATGAAAGTTGCTGAGAATTAATTTTCCACAACTAGGGGCTACAAAAGGGGTTGTCGATTGGACAATCGAACGACTTTTTTTCCATCTTGGATGGTTTATGGCAGGAAAACAAAGACTCCATGTTGTGATCTTACCATCAGTTGACTGAAAAAGCAAATACCGAAACACGAATGCAGAAACAATTTATTTAAGATTAAATAAAACCGTTCCGAAAACAAAAACTAAAGCAAACCTTTCTTAACAACCTTCCCCGTCTTTTTAGACGATGGTAAAGATGGCGCCCCTGGGCGTGGCTGCTCGGTCAGCAGCCTTCTCTCCTGATGGTGAGCTTCTTGCTATTGGTCTTAAAAACGGCGCATTTGCTGTTTTGAAATCCGCTGACCTGAAGATCATAGCGCAGAAGCGGGATCGAAACAAAGCCATTCAAGATGTCAGGTAATCATTGCCGGATTAACATAAGCGCTATCAATAATTGGCAATTACCTTGACTAAAGATTAAAGATTAATCCAAAAGACGAGTAATCAAGTGATTTCATTCCTTCTAGCATAACAGGCTGTTGCATTCAGTCAGGTGCCCTTTAAGTTTAGCCACTTTCTCGTGTTGTAAGTTGTGTTTCTCAGTTGTAGCGTTACCCGCCTCGATTGTCTCTCGGTATACGCAACAAGTTTTTTTTTTTTACGTTTTTGAGCCATGCGTTGTTGTAATTATCAATGAAGGAGTACATGAATGAACGGATAAATGAAAATTCAATGAATAAATGAAAAAGAACGCATTTTCGCTGTATCAATGAATAACTTAGGTGAGCGGGTGAGTTAGGGTGATTGAGTGAGTGAGTAAATGATTGAATAAATAATGTAGTTTACTTGTCCTAGGTTCAGTCCAGATGGCAGATATCTCGCAGTAGGATCAGATGATAGTTGTGTTGACTTCTATGAGCTCCGAGAGGGCCGCCCTCTGACTCGTGCAGGATACTGCAAAGGAATCCCATCTTTTGTTACTCAGATGGACTTCTCCGCAGATGGCAAGTTTATTCAGGTTAGTATCACACGAATGGCATATTGTTTTCTTACGGTCACTGTCCTGGCTGATGTGGTGCGTATGACTAAAGGATTGTTTTATTACTGCAATGGCAGTGTCTTCCTTGCGGGGGTATTCACCTTAAAAATGATGTCCTGCTGTAGAGTAGACTTAACTGGGATGTCTTCCTACAGAGGGCTTCCTTAAAAGGCGTCGGTCTCCCAGGTGATCACCAAAGTGGTATCCGCCTTAGAGAAAAGTACACAAGTGTTTCTATTTTACTGACCGTGTCCACAGTACTTAAATTGTAGTTGGAGTTGTTATTTTTTATCCAGTCAATACTTATCGGGTATTATTTCAGGTCTCCACCGGTGCGTATGAGCGGTTAGTGTTCTCAGTTCCCGGAGGAAATCTCTTAAGAGACAAAAAAGAAATAAATAGAATAACCTGGGATTCATGGACTAGGTAGGTTAATCAATAGAAAACTTTACAAAACAATTCATTCTTCAGTATTAAATATTGCTTTTCATGCTCTCTTTGGGTTTCAAATGTCACAGAAAACGTTTTTTAGCAATCCTTTTGTTTTTAACTTCACAGTGTTCTTGGTAACGAAGTAATTGGAATATGGCCACGAAACGCAGACAAAGCGGACGTGAACTGCGCAAACCTGTCGTCAAGCGGTTTCTCTCTGGCCACTGGTGATGACTTTGGTTTTGTAAAGTTATTCGACTTTCCAGTCACGGAGAAATTTGTAAGTTTTTTCTTAAGTGCTTAAAATATTACTTGATTACTTTTCGCCAAGAGGAAACCATCTCAAATCTTTAAAAAAATGCCAGCGTCAATCCGCAAACAACTCTTCATCTTAAAACTCTCTTGCTTGTTCTGTTGTCAACCTTTCCATTGATGGCAGAAGCCCGTAACCCTGACATAGTAACTCCCATGTATTTCTTTCGCGACGTTTTCACAGACCAGTTTTCATCGATTCTTTGTGTGAATCTGAATTATGAGTATCTCAAAAGACTTAGACCTGACAATGTTAGTTTTGTTCCCTACCTTTTATCATACAGTCAACTCTCTCGAAGATGGACACCTTTGGGACCGGCACTAAGTGTCCGTCTTAGAGAGATGTCCGTCTTATAAAGAGTCGAATAAAGGGAATAAGTAAAGGCAGGGACCAACTCTAGGTGTCCGTTTTACAGAGGTGTCCGTTAAGAGAGAGTGGACTGTATTTTATACGGATGTAAGATGGGCATTTTCAGTGATGTGTCACCCCATCTGCAAAGTTTACTCTAAAATGTGCCTTAAATAGGCTGGTCTGTGAAAACGCTGTGACGTAAACCCATGATGTTTGTAGTCAAACATATAATCCAGTTAAAAATTTCATGCAGCAAATAACGTCCTCCATGAAACACAGTTTGCGCTTGAAGCGACAAGTGGTTCTGAAATGCGTGTATTTGATTCCAGGCCCCTTTTAAGCGATACGTGGGTCACTCCGCTCACGTGACTAATGTGCGATTCACATGTGATGACCGCTTTTTGATCAGTGCGGGGGGAGATGATTGTTGGTGAGTACACATCAGTCAGATTTGCTTTGTTCCCAGCTGTTACGCACCGCGCATTAGCTGTGCATTCATGCCTCTTATCAATAAGATTTACTAACAATAATCATCAAAACGCTTGTTACAGGCTGCTGACGAAATTTGTACATGGCACTGATAAAGATCGCCTTGATAACAAGTTGACGACTTTTTATCCTGTTTCTCTTTTGCAGCGTTTTTGTTTGGAAATGTAAATGAACACGTTCGTTACCATGATAAGACGTGTATTTCCAAACTTTAGCCTTAGACACCAATGAAACATAAAGGAAATAACTCGCAGAATTGCGTTTGGGAATAGAAGAAGCAAACGTTCCTGGAACAAAAACAGCCGGAGGAATATAGTCATTATGTTGGCAGGAATCTTTGCTATGCTGATGAAGACTAGCCGTCAAGACTGTTTTTTTAAGCAACTATTAAAGCCATGGTTTCATTTCCACTTTGTTGTTGGCAGAGAGGTCTGAAAGAGAGCTTGATCTATTTTGGACTCGGGCGCGGCTGTTAGAATTCTTATTCCCCCGTTTGAAGAACGTTGAAAAATATATTTATTTTAAGGTTAATGGCCGATGCTAACATAAGGAATGCTTCAATATCAAAGTATTTATTTAGGGGTATTTAAATGGACAAAACGAAAACAAAAGTTTTAGACTAAATTACGAAGTTATGCCACTAAGATATGTGCAATTAAAAGTTGAATAAGTATAATCTTTGGAGGTTGTTGGAGTGTTAAATTGACTAGCATACCCGAAGCTTGAAACGGAAGTATAATCACTAATATTGACTGTGAACTTGACGTCTCAAAACTCGCAGAACGAGTTTCCGGGAAGCCCTCTTTCGATTGAAGGATGCCGTCTTATCAAGGCTGCCGGCGTGGGGAGAGTTCATTTGCAGGAATTAAAAATAGAGAAGAAAATCTCGGTTGTGAAATGAAAAACGTCCTTTCTATTGTTGCAACGGTGGCCATTGCTAGTAGTGCGGGTATTTTTCACGTTTTCCTTCTGTCTTTTGTAAAGCTAACTGAACCTGCCTTATTATACAGAGAAGTCGTACTCGATTACCATGATACTCAGTCCCAGATCTGTCTTTATCGGTTACAGCAACTTCTAAGGACAATTCTCTATTGTCAGGGTTCGCGCTCACCTTGAAAGTCTTTATATTTTAAAATAAAAATTCAAGGCCTTGAAAGTCCTTGAAAATTGCAGTCGTAAAGTCATTGACTTTCGGTTCTAACTTCATCCAACCCAGCAAACACAGAAGACCTTCACGATAAAATTGCTCATGTTTTAGAAGAATTAAAAAAGACATAGACTCGAGGCTCTTTTTTGCATGGAATGGAGTCCTTGAAAAATGGGAAATGTGTCCTTGAAAGTCCTTGAAAAGTGTCCCTTATAATTTTGTTCAAAAAAGGGTACGAACCCGGTATTGACAAATGCACCTTACTTTGGATATTTTACGAGTTGNAAAGATCGCCTTGATAACAAGTTGACGACTTTTTATCCTGTTTCTCTTTTGCAGCGTTTTTGTTTGGAAATGTAAATGAACACGTTCGTTACCATGATAAGACGTGTATTTCCAAACTTTAGCCTTAGACACCAATGAAACATAAAGGAAATAACTCGCAGAATTGCGTTTGGGAATAGAAGAAGCAAACGTTCCTGGAACAAAAACAGCCGGAGGAATATAGTCATTATGTTGGCAGGAATCTTTGCTATGCTGATGAAGACTAGCCGTCAAGACTGTTTTTTTAAGCAACTATTAAAGCCATGGTTTCATTTCCACTTTGTTGTTGGCAGAGAGGTCTGAAAGAGAGCTTGATCTATTTTGGACTCGGGCGCGGCTGTTAGAATTCTTATTCCCCCGTTTGAAGAACGTTGAAAAATATATTTATTTTAAGGTTAATGGCCGATGCTAACATAAGGAATGCTTCAATATCAAAGTATTTATTTAGGGGTATTTAAATGGACAAAACGAAAACAAAAGTTTTAGACTAAATTACGAAGTTATGCCACTAAGATATGTGCAATTAAAAGTTGAATAAGTATAATCTTTGGAGGTTGTTGGAGTGTTAAATTGACTAGCATACCCGAAGCTTGAAACGGAAGTATAATCACTAATATTGACTGTGAACTTGACGTGTCAAAACTCGCAGAACGAGTTTCCGGGAAGCCCTCTTTCGATTGAAGGATACCGTCTTATCAAGGCTGCCGGCGTGGGGAGAGTTCATTTGCAGGAATTAAAAATAGAGAAGAAAATCTCGGTTGTGAAATGAAAAACGTCCTTTCTATTGTTGCAACGGTGGCCATTGCTAGTAGTGCGGGTATTTTTCACGTTTTCCTTCTGTCTTTTGTAAAGCTAACTGAACCTGCCTTATTATACAGAGAAGTCGTACTCGATTACCATGATACTCAGTCCCAGATCTGTCTTTATCGGTTACAGCAACTTCTAAGGACAATTCTCTATTGTCAGGGTTCGCGCTCACCTTGAAAGTCTTTAAATTTTAAAATAAAAATTCAAGGCCTTGAAAGTCCTTGAAAATTGCAGTCGTAAAGTCATTGACTTTCGGTTCTAACTTCATCCAACCCAGCAAACACAGAAGACCTTCACGATAAAATTGCTCATGTTTTAGAAGAATTAAAAAAGACATAGACTCGAGGCTCTTTTTTGCATTGAATGGAGTCCTTGAAAAATGGGAAATGTGTCCTTGAAAGTCCTTGAAAAGTGTCCCTTATAATTTTGTTCAAAAAAGGGTACGAACCCGGTATTGACAAATGCACCTTACTTTGGATATTTTACGAGTTGCTATTTCAGCTTAGTAAGCGCCCTAGGGGCAAGTGAAAATGCAATGAATGAGTGAAATATCTGCGCGTTTCATTTACCAAAACACCGAATGGGGGATATTTACCCCACTTATGAAATCATGTAACGATTTCGGAGGGTTCGTCAGGTCCCGTTTGACAAAACCCGCCAAAGTTCTGGTCCAACCGCGTTCATTCCTCTTTAAGATGTTCTTCCGATCCGAACGATAACATTGGTTCTCCACAGACAACTGGAACTAGTGTAGCTTAGAAGACAATTTAGTAGTCCACGGGACAAGCGTTCAAGGTGAGAACTTTACGGCGGTGCGGTATCTGGCCTCCACACTCGTGTGTCGTTGATGCAAGAAGTGTCGGTTTAGCCAAGAAGATTCTGGCGACTGGAGATGATTTTGGATTTGTACAAGGTGTTTAAGTTCGCAGTGAGGGTGAGACTTACATGACAATTGTTGCTAAAATGCTTATTCCTTTTCGTATTTAAGTTACTGAGAAATAAATGGCATCACGTTTTGCCTTTAATAATAGTTCCACAGATGAGGACCTTCCTCGTCCACAGGATTTCTTCAGGCTTAGTGGGGAGCAGAGACTTACCGGTGCTGGAGACAGGCGAGAAGCGAGGCACTAGCTATATGACGCGCTTAGAGACGATACTGGTTAAAAGCGTTGGTTTGCTTTGGATTTAATTGATGATCTCAGGAGTTAAAACCATCTTATACAGCTACAGCCTAATGGCTAGTACCGCAGTAGCTCTTACTGGAATGGTTTAGTTGCAAGTGTCTTTAAGATTTCGAAGACAATCCAGCTTTTTTCGAAGATCTATTTTATCACCCCTATGACTTTAACTGTTACGATATAGTTATAGGGGGAGATTTTAATCTTGTGCTCGATTTAGGGCGGCCTTGGGTAAGACAAGGTTGCCGTCTCTATCCTGACAGCAGAAGTATTCAGAGAGCAAAGGCTCTATGCAAAAAGGAGAATAAAAGGGGTATTTTACTGTACATGATAAAGAGATTAAGATAAGTCAGTGCGCAGGTGGCACAAGACTTATTCTGGATGTGAAAGACCAACTCGCTTACCCCTGAAACCTGCAGCTAAATCCTTCAGAATTACCTTTTCTCTCCCCAGTGAAAATCGAACGTATTTAGCTAATCCTATGTATTACTTAACGCATGTCACTCCGCGTTTTGGCTTTGCTAGGCGCACGCATATAGCAGTTTAGCAGAGTCATTGCTTTGTTAATCCTCAGTTTTTGCTGAAGCTGAGAAGCGTCTGGAACATAGTAATTATCAAGCTCGAAAGGGAATACAGTTGTGATTGTGGAGAAATTTTTAAGAGCCCTAGATCATTTATAAGGGTACTGTAGTCCTAATAGGGAGCTTAAGCAACGACGACGCGGACGGCAACGAGAACGGCAAAAAAGCAATAGGTTTGATTAGCAAAACAACAGCACATTGTACATTTCTTTGCCGTCATTGCCCGACTACAACGTGAAAGTGCCTGAATTCACGTTTTGTCGAGGACGGGAACACAAGACAACTTTCTTTTCTTTTCCTGAACTTTAATACAGTCCTTTAGAATTCAACTCCAAAAACATTTGCCAACATTTGACGAAGTAAACGAGATGTAATAAGCGCGATAAAGTTTGAAGCGGTGCGAATTCACTTTTTAAGTGGCTTTTTTGTAGCCGTCGCCGTCGTTGTTGCTTGAGCTCCCTAAAATTTCCTTTCAACAACTTGGTCCCGGTCCTTGCGTTCTCTCTTGCCCCGTTGTCGGCTCGGCCACGGTAGAGTCCTGGTTTTACGGAGCCGGGAACGCCCAGAGACTGAGCTGTCCTTTCATTGTGTGACTATAATCCTCTCGTGTAACAATTTATTTGAAACAATCCAGATGTTATGTTTTTATATGTATTTATATAAGTATTTTGATTTTGGTCACTGGTGGTGACGACTGATCGTGGAGACACCTCCAGCGAGTTCTTTTAAACTGGGCATTCCCGAACTGGTCAGAAGTTTCAGCAAGTTACTTTTACTACTTACATCTGGTACCACGACCTTTTTTTTTCTTGTAGACGCCTTGGCTTTACACTATGTAGTTAACTGGTTTCACTGTAAGCGACCACCTCAGTTGAGTCAGATACACTCTTGCTAAAGGAGAGTGGCACCTATGAGAGTGTTAACTTAAAAATGTCTTCACACGGGGGGCAAGTAGAAAAAGAAATCACGTGGAATTTATTTCGAAAATTTTCACAAACATTGAGGTTTAGTGGAAGTAATTAAGTGGCAATGCTACCGTAGATACCCGAAAAGCCCCACACGTTTTAAGTCTTTTACATATAAGGACAGAGGACCGGTCGCTTAAGATAGTGGTCTCTAAAACAAAGTAATTACCCATCTTCTTAGGTTCATATTATTGACTGTGTGTCGTAAGATTTCGGAGAAGGCGTTTTTTTTGGAATAGGAATTAACCGCGATTCCATCGTCAGAAGTTTCTTAAGCTATTCTTAAACTTGATTCGTCTACTAAAGACTGTTAAGACATTAAATTTAATCGAAATCAGCGTATTTCACTAAAGAAAAGTAGTGAGTTGAATTGGTTTCATCAGCATTTCAAAGTCTTGAAGCTTTTCATTACTTCTTTGATATGTTTCCTGCACAGTCTATCCAAGTTCTCTCTATTCAAGACAAGCTGGACATTCCCAGTAGTGAATGTAACAATACAAATTCGTGTTTCCAATATTAACAGTACCTTTACAGCTACACTTGTATTGTCTTAAACCATTTGATTGCTCTGTAC